CCCGCCCCATCCACCATGGATGAAAGTGAAACTACCAAGACACGATCTGCTTGGGGAGGAAAGGTGGCCGATCTCTCAAAGGAGAAGGGCCAAGAGCCTTTTCCTCAAGGGGCTTTTATTGGGTTCGTTTTGCACAAGAATACAGGTAAGGATCAAACAATAGATAGCATTCAAAGAACCAGGAGGGCTTATTCTCAGTCAGGGTCAGACAGCTAAAGAGCCATAAAACTTCAAGGAACAAACTTCTTGCCTGGACCCTTATCATTTAAATGAGAGCATTCTAAACAAAGCAGGTTTCACAGGACTTTACATATTCTTTCTTAGGCCTGATCACCCTGGATCCCGCTCTAGCGAGCAAAAGACTGCACTGCCTTACCCATCATAGGTTTTCGGGCTTAAGTGGATTAGAGCCAGGAAGCGCTTCTCCCAGACGGAAATGGGGACTCGGGCTATGTCAGAATAGCCGGGGGGTGAGGGTCCATCACTCCCTCTTTGTTGAAGCCCCCCCTCCCCAGTCCTTTCATGATGGCCTCCCAAGTGATCGTGTCTGGCTTAGGTCGCCCCCCCTCTGAAAGCTCTTACCCGTCATAGACTAACCGACCACGCGTTGGGGGCCAGAGATGGATGAAGCAGAAGCAGCGCTGCTGCCAGAGACGAGCTTTGTCTCCTTAGTGGCTCACATTCCGGAGGTCGTTCACTCAACCTTAGCCATGGGGGGTGGGCAGTTTCAACTCCTGAAACCAGGCAGAGTGGTTCCCAATAGTTGCGGCTCCAGAGGTCTCTGTTCCAGGTAAACCAGCAAAGCCTGTTATTCACTGCATTCACCTGTTTCTATGGAGTCCAGGTGGTGCTCTGTCCACCAACCTCAGTTCTCTGATGAGTCTACGTACGAGTAATGGCTTTTCAGTTTGCTCAGCTATTTTCTTAGAGTGATGGAAACAATCAAAGTGTTTTACATGTAAATCTTTGGATCACTTTTAAATTGGACTTTAGCCTCCCCTTGCACCTTCCCCCTTTTTTTTGGAATTGTTAAAATTCTTTATATATTCTGGACACAAGTCATTTATTAGATATATATTTTGCAAATGTGTTCTCCAACTTGTCTTCCACTTTCTTTTTTTTTAAATATTTTATTTATTTATCTTTAGAGGGGAAGGTAAGGAGAGAGAGAGAGAAATATCAATGTATGGTTGCCTCCTGTCTGTCCCCTGATGGGAACTGGCCTGCAACCCAGGCATGTGCCCTGACTGGGAATGGAACTGTGATACTCTGGTTCGCAGGCCCGCTCTCAATCCACTGAGCTACACCAGCCAGGGCTTGTCTTCCACTTTCTTAGTGGTGACCCTTGGAAGGAGTTTAGACAGGGACCAGATCTGCACACACACTAACCTGCGTTGCAGAGAATGAACTGCAGGGGCCAGGAGTGGCTGGGGAGACCATCACAGTGGTCCAGGTAAGGGGTGATGGTGGTGTGGGTTGGCAGGTGATCGGGGGATGGAGAAATCCGGCCGCACACGAGGGGTGTACATAAACAGGGGCTGACGGGTGTGCAGACACTCACAGGTTTCCAACAGGAGGGAAGTGCGGCTCCCCACACTCGTCCACAGAATACAGTATTGTCATTGTTTTTCATAGTGAAACTCCCATGAATTTGTGAGATATTAGTTTTGATAATTTGGGAAAGGTGAGACCAGAGGAATTTTAGGGTCCCTTCTGTAGTTTTCAGTCTGTGGTGCCATGAGCATGTCCTTTTGGGGTTGTTTTAACAATCTTAAAATACTCTGTGGCGGGTGCCTATGTGCACTATTACAGGCTGTTATTAGTCATGTGAATCTATAATGCTGCGTTTTGGACTGAGGTAATGACTCCTCACTGAAACTGAGCAGCCTATGCTTGTAGACCTTTGCAAAATGTGAAGGCAGAAACACTGTTCGCATAGGAAGCGTAAGGAGGGGATAAGGAAATTCATATTCGTGTATTAACCCAATTACCAAATGTACCCTGCAAATCCGGAGCGCCATCAGTTTAAAACGGGAATTCACATCATTCTGTCCCAAGTGACAGACACAGTCAGTATTACACATGAAAAATCCTTTCCTCAGGCTGGGATGCACAGCCCCTCTCATTTAGGGCAGTGTGCGCTACCACAGGAGAACCTTTATTTAAGGCTGGAAATTTCATTTACCCAGGAGCCCGAACCGCTGGTTTTCTGTTCTTGCAAAATAAACAAAACACCCAGGCAAACTCGATTCAAAGGAGGCCCAAGGGAATGGAAATGAATGTGAAATCAGGTCTGCAGGCCAGGGTCAGCGCAGCAAATTGGGAGCACGGCGGTGACACGTTTTCTCTCCTCTGATACAAAGCGAGAGCAGAGGAGTGTGCATGTGGGTGTGTGTGTGTTTGCATGTGTCTGCGCTGTTTTATTTTAGAAGAGGACAAGGTAAAGGCTCAGAAATGAATGTCCTGCTTAGTGGGAGCCCCAGAACAGTCATGAGTCAGAGAGATGCAGGCATCTCCTCCAAGCCTAGCCTGGCCTGGCTGCACAGGGAGACGGTGGCATGCAAGGACACCTTGTGGCAATAAGGAACCCCTTCTTAAGGAGGCGATAGTGCAGCTGGCTCATCGTGCTGCTCATTTTGCCCTTTCCTGTCGAAGGGCCTTTGTAAACACCAGCTGATCGTTCTGAAAGCCAGAGGCCTCGAGGCATCCCCAAGTCTTATGAATTCATCTTTCAGTCTCAAATCCATCTTCTTTTCCCTGCCACAGGGCAAATCCCTGATGTTCTTTGGGCTCCAAACTTTGTACAATTTTGAAGGCCCCCTTTCAGAATAAGAATAAAAATTATGAATATGAAGGCAGACACCCATATCATTAGCGCTCCGGCCAAGGCTGTTGGAAAGGGCCTGGACAAGGGAAAGGCTAGTGCGGAAGCTCACCAGTGAATCAATCCGCTGCCTCTCGCTGTCAGAGCCTCAACACAGTTTGTAATCACGTTTTTAGTCTGAGTGTTTGATTCCTGCCCATCTCCAGGTGGACTGTGAGCTTTTGGAGGGGAGACGCCGTGTCCCTTTTGTTCGTTATTGTACCCTTAGTGTTTAGTCTAGTGCCCAGCACGTGAGAGAGGTCCTCAAGAAATGGGATTTAAATAAACGAACCCTGAATTTCGAATCATAATAAAAATCACAAAACTACGAGCTTCCAGTCATCGACAGTCTCCACTTTCCAGGCCCTGGATGACAGGTCCGAGGGTGCAGGCATGCTGAGAGTCCCTGCCTGTAAAAACAGGGGAGGGACAGCCACCATGGCACTGGGAAGTAAAGGGAGACTGGAGCTGAGGGTGCCTCTGAGTCAAAGATGGAACTTCTAATGGCTGCTGTCAAGGGCACTGTGTCCCCCGGAATAAACATGACTTCATGAGTGGTAGGGATGCTCATAAACTAGTTTTATTTTTTTAAAGAAGAGGAGACTATTCTAAAGCTGCTGCTTCCTGATTTTCCCTGTTGGGAAACAGAACCCCTTCTCATATACATGCCCCCCACAGCCTTGTTCTTAAACCTGGGTCTCAATTAGGATGATTAGTTTGCACCCCAGGGCCCATGTGGCCATGTTTGGGGGCATTTTTGTTGTTACAGCAGGGAATGGGGGAATGTTACTACCGGCATCTAACAGATAAGGGCCAGGGATGCTGCTAAGCATCCTACAATGCACAGGGCAGCCTGCACAGCAGAGTGATCGGGCCCCGTCGAGAAACCTGCCTCAAACCCACAGTCTCCCTCTCTGTCCCTTCCTCTGGACATCACAGCTGTTCGCACCTTTCCCCTCCTCTGCCTGCTGTGCTCCGCACAGAAGAGTGGGGCTGCACTGCTCGGAGAGCGAGGAGGAAGATACTCACCAGAGTAAGTGTGATGCAATTTCAATGACCCATTCAGCTTATTAAAAATAAACCAATACTTATTCTAACAGGCACTGTTCTAGGCCAGTGCATCGAATGGCCTGGGAATCTTATTAAAATGCAGATTCCGAGGCAGTTGGTCTGGGGTGAAGCCTGAGAGTCAGCAAGAGTAACCAGCTCCCAGGGGAATGTAAACACTGTGGCCGGGGACCACACTTGGAGTAGCCAACTTCTTGGCACTTAGGATGTATCAGCAAACAAAAGACCCCCTGCCTTTGGAGAGCTTCCAGTTTGGCTCGAGTTATACTGGACCCAAAGAAAGGCAGACAGGCTGAAGTCAGAGGCACTCAGAGACTTAGAAAATCAGAGCCAGAGAAGGACTTAGAGAAGGTCTAACAACCAACCCCAACCACTCACACCCCCGTTTAAGAGGTTGGGGAAGCTGGGGCTCACAGTGGGGAAGAAAGCTATGAAAATCAGAGTTTGCTGTGGCGGCTTTTAGACAAGGCTGCTGGATTCCTACTCCCTTGTATTACCAGGGTCCTCAGGGACCTCTTGAGGGCAGAGGTTGTTCACAGGGGAAGAGGGATGGCCAGCACCTTTAGACGTTGCAGGGGTGGAGGTCTGGGGAACCCCCACAGGAGGGTCCCACTGCGCTGCAAACGCTGGGGTATGTCTGGGGAGATGTTAGGATCCTTTCCACTGACCCTTTGTTTTTCTGCATGACTACATCTAGCAAGGATGAGCTGGGGGAAGGGATGGAGAAGCAATCTGAATGCATTTAGGCATCTGGTCAGCAAGTGTAAAGAGTAAACTCAAACCGAATTAGGTCAATCAAAACCTCTTTCTAATCAGGAGTGAAGGACAAACCCTGAACCTGCACCAGGCTCCGTTCCCATCTTCCAGGGCCTGCACCCAGAGCTGCAGCCCGGGGAACTGTCTGCACGGCGTTGAGAAGCAACCGCTTCCTCCTCTGCTAGGACATGGGAACGCAAACTGTTTAATTCATGCCAGTTTGACTGGAACAGAACAGTGGCAAATTTCACAGAGTAGCTGAAAAGAAGAGAAATAGCTGGTATACTAGGCATTAATAATATAACAAAGGAAGAAAAAAGAGAAACTTTTCATTAGTACTTTTTGATGTCAATTTATGTTTATACTTTGTCAATACTCAAACAGGCGACAATTAAACATTCAGAAAGACCCCCTAACACAGTCGAGGCATCTGTCTCACCTCAATTTTTTAGAAACCTGGAAATCAAGAGTCCTGGCACTTATAGAATAGTTGTGTTACAAATATTTGCTGTATCAGAAATATTGTTTGAGGACCACTACTTAGAAAGATTTTAGTTTAAATTTTATCAATGGCCAGAAAGCAGGCAGATCACGGTTCTTAATGGAAGATTCGATGCAAATTAGCAAAGTGCTGCTTCCAAATTTTTAAGCCTTCAGTATTACTTTGTTTGACACATGGTGTTGACAAAGCCCACTGTTCAGTAATTAGCATCCTGTCAAATCTCTCCAATCAAGACCAGCATGCTGCACCTGGCTCTAGTTAAAAAATGCTTTGTGGGCAATTCTGATCCAACCCCCAGGGGATACTGCCAAGCGCAGAATTGCCTTCCAGGCCCACTTGCCAGTTAGCATTTCCGAAACGAGAAGGCTCTCGCCCAAGGGTTCTGAGAACCTTTGCCTACTGATCTGCCACACCATTTTAACTTCTTCGGTACATGTCCATCCTTGTGATGCAGACACTCGCTCCTCCCTAAAGAGGTACCTCTTCCTGGGACAGAAGATTCTTCAGAAGTGCAATCACTGTTGAAATAAAACAAACAAAAAATGGAAAGGCAAAAAATAAATAAATAAAAGGAACACGATGACCTTGATGGCTTTCTCCTCCGGAGGAGCTCAGTGGGGCAGTGGCTGGCCCTCCCTAGTTTGTCTCTCCTCCATTGTTTCGGGTGCCATTGCCTTTTGAGGGACTGTCCCTGGAATAGAGGTTGTGGTCCTTGATGTAGGCAATGACAGCATCCGGGAGCAGGTACTTCACGCTCCGCCCTTGGCCCAAGGCGCTCCTGACGTAGGTGGCGCTGATTTCGTTCTGCACTGGCTCCCGGACCAGGTGAATGTTGTGCTGGTACCTCCGCAGGATGGGCGAGCCTGAGATGTATGCCTTGGGGTCATGGCCAGCCCGCCCCACACACACCAAGCCGAACTTCTCCACGATTTCCTGGATGTGCTCGTCTTTCCAGAGGTTGGGGGTCTGGAAGGTCTTTAGGACGTCTGCCCCGCAGAGGAACTTCAGTTCAGGTGCAGCTGGAAAAACAAGGGTAGATCCCAGCTAAGTTATAGGAAGGGTCAGGGCCGGAAAAGAGAACATACTCCACTTGGAATTTTCATAAATGTTTTTCTTGGAATGTATTGGGCACTCAATGTCTCCATGTTCATGACTTAAAAAGCGTGAACCTGAAGCCACTTCAGGGACATACGGTTATAAGTAATAATTCAGTCAATAAATCTTTTGTTTTATACTGGTGAAGTGCCCAGCACTGTAATACAAGACGGTTTTTATTTTCAGTGTTACACCACCAGTCTGTGGCCGAGGGGTCCAAAGCAGCTGTGCCGTACCCAGAACCCCACCTTCCGACAGAGGTGCCCTCCTCAGAGCCCGGGGACTGACGAGCTGCGGGCCTCAGGCACGTTTCTGCCCCTCGCACAGTCTGTCTCAGCTCTAACACCTCTACTTGTATAAGTCAGACCTCACCATAAAAGTTCATTATAAAGTATAACCAAAAGGTCTCAGACCCCAGCTGAGACCTTTTCATCTGTTTTCAGTGAAACGAAGCTCTAGAACAACCAATCAATGGGGAGGATCCTGTGGTGTTTGTTCTAACCGAATGGTGATTGTGCTGATAAAAGAATACCTAATATTTATTGGATGCTTACTATGAGCACTATTGATTGTTCTTTTTTTCTTAAGATTTTATTTATTTTTAAGAGAGAGGGGAAGGGAAGGGAAGGGGAAAGCGAGGGGGAGAAACACCAGTGTGTGGTTGCCTCTCCCACGCCCCCTACTGGGGACCTGGCCTGCAACCCGGGCATGTGCCCTGACTGGGAATCAAACCAGTGACCCTTTGGTTTGCAGGCCAGTGCTCAGTCCACTGAGCTACACCAGCCAGGGCGAGAAGCACTATTGAGTATTAGGTACCTTCAGTGTATAATCTCATTGGAGCCTGAGGACAACTTTATATAGTAGGCACTATTGTTGTGTTCATTTTGCAGAGGGAGAAACAGAGGCACAGAGAGACAAGTGACTTGCCTGAGGTCACTCATTTAGGCAGAGTAGATAGGATTCAAAACTGACAGCCAGCCAGCCTCCAGGTGGGGCATTTATAACTGCGCTCTGCTGCCTCCTGCTGGCAGGAACTGTGCATGCATCAGAACTGACAGGGCCTTCCTCCACTTGGAAAGGAAAAATCACGTCCATGGAAGAAGCAACCAGCAGGATCCCTAGTCCTTTGGGAGGTGGATTCTATCTTTAGTAAACAGCAAAGGTTGGGCTGCTACAGAGCTGGCATCTCAGTCACCAGGAAACCTCAGGTGGGAGGAGCTTCAGGGATACCACCTGCTGGGAGAAAACCTGATGTAAACGTTCAGTTTAGGCTCCTCTACTGTGTACCCTTCAAAGGAGTCTGGACATGGACTGGAGAGATAAGTTTTAAGAGGAGCAACTCAACCAGCTGTGGAGTGGAAAACAAGAAACCGAAGTGTCTCCTAGACGTCTGAATTCCCGCCTCAGCTGGGCACGAGCTGCAGAGGGACCGGAGCCAAGGTCTTTCCTTCTTTGGGCCTCGGTTTCCCATCTATGAAGTGGTGGGCAATGGACTCATTTACTCAGCAGATGGAATTACAGGAACGTCCCTTTGAAACACTGAAGCCACATAATACTGAGAGTCACACATCTATTAACGCATGTATTCGGGAACCCTCCATGGTTCAGGGCTAGGATTCTGGAGCCAGGCACCTAAGATGCCAGTCCTGACCGTCATTCAACAGCTGTGTGACCTCGACTTTAAAATGAGGATATAGCAGTACTTATTAAACAGGATTATTTTGGAATCAAATTAACTCATAAGTGTAAAGTACTTAGAACAGTAATTGGAACAGAGTAAGTATGGTGCGTGTTAGCTACCATCCATCCATCCATCCATCCATCCATCCATCCATCCATCCATCCATCCGCCTACTCACCCACCAATTCATTCATCAACACATCCATCAGACACTCATGAGGTACCCCCTGGACTTTTAAAAATCAGTAAAACTGCATTTAAAAATTCAATGACTCACCCTTTTCACTACTTTGGGCTGTCCCATTGCTCCCACATACATGTGGATTTGAACTCTTCTGCACTAGTGAGGTCTTACTCTTAATTTCTTTCTTATTCAACCACTAATATAGCCTAAGACCAGAGTCTGTCCTTTCAAATAGCTGGGTGGTTTTTACATTGTCTTCCTACGGGGGGAGGTTACATGATGTGCGTTTAATTCCAGGGTCTCCTGAGGCCTGGGGCAAACAACCCCTGTTCTCAAAGGTCAGATAGTTGTGGGGACAATTTCCACAGGTCAGCTTCAATACTAGATACTGCTTGACTCATTAACAATGATAGTAAGGGATGGGGTCCGCTCTGTGCCCTTGCCTGCAGGGAATAAATGCACATACCTTCCCTGTTCAAGCCAAAGGCAGGTCTTTCTGCAACAGGCGCCTCGGACTCCAGCTCTGGGCAGTCCTGTCCCCGGGCCTCAAAGAAGTACTCCCATCTCCCTTTCAAATCCATGCCCCTCGTGGCCACAGCATCTTCAGATCGAGTGGCTCCGACCATGCAAGTCCCAAGTCTGTAAGTCTGAGGTGTTGAATGAAGGCGGACAATTTGATTCATCTGAGCAGTGACACAGCGGCATAAACAGGATGTCCACTGGCACTTTCAGGCAGTGTGATCTCTGAGTAGCCACAGGCTTTGAAAAGCAGATGAAGCAGAGATTTAGATGGAATGTGAGGCAAGTGCCACCGGAACCTTTTTCTCTGAGTGTCCAGTTGCCCTAACTCTGTGACATTAAAGAGCACCCACCTTGTGGTCGGTGAGCTCTGGGTTTGAATTTCAGATCTGCCGGGACTCCAGAATGCAGTGGATAAGCCTGCTTCCTCAGCTGTAGAGTGGGGATGATAGACAAAACCTCCTGTGGAAGTTGCGGAAATTGAGGGACCGAATGCTATGTGAACTCCCTGCCTAGCGCAGAGTGTGCACATGGCCACGTGGGCCACACAGACACACACAGGAGTGCGGGACTTTTGGGTCTGCACAGGAGGACACCAAAGATGAAGCCAGGTATTGGCATCTGCACAGAAGTAGCCAAATTCACCAGACAAGCCAGTGTGAAATGGAACCAGATGAGGTACCTGCTGGGGCTGTATAGAAAGGGGGTCCACTGAGGGTCATTGAGTTGGGCTCAGCCCCATTGGCCAAAGGCAGGGACTGCCTTCACAAAAGAAAAGACCTGGTAGGGCTGTTAAAGGACCAAGGCATCATCCATTCCAGTGTCACATCCAAGTCACCCCAAATGCAGCAAGCAACCCACATGACACTGGTGAGGCCAAGGAGGACTACAAATCACAGGAGCAATGGGCAAAGCAGGGCTCTGGCAGCCAGAAAATGCTGAGCTCAGCCTGGAATCTGTAATCCCAGGGTAGAACAACACACAATAAAATACTCAACACACCATGTGGTCCATTAGAAATATATCACTAGTAACATGCAAGCCATTTCATCAAAAGCTAAGCTTCTGCTGAGAAAAACTGCACCTTCCTTTTTTATCTTTATTTTTATTTTGCCTTTACAATTTTTTTGTTGTTTTTCAAGTACAGTTGTCTCTATTATCCCACCACCACTTTCCCCCACCCCACCCCCAGTCTTTCCCCCCTTTGGCTTTGTCTATGGGTCCTTTATACATGCTCCTTGAGGACCCTTTCCCTTCCTTCCCCTGTTATCCTTCTCCCCTCTCTCCTCTGCTTACTGTCAATTTATTCTTTATTTCAGTATCTCTGGTTGTATTTTGCTTGCTTGTTTATTTTGTTGATTAGGTTCTACTTATAGGTGAGATCATATGGTATTTGTCTTTCACTGCCTGGCTTACTTCACTCAGCACAATGCTCTCCAGTTCCATTCATGCTTTTTCGAAAGGTAGGAGCTCCTTCTTTCCTTCTGCTGTGTAGAATTCCTTGTGAAAATGTACCACAGTTTTTTTATTCATTCATTTACTGATGGGCACTTGGGTTGCTTCTACTATCTGCCTATTGACATTGACATTGTGCTGCTATGAACATTGGGGTGCATAGGTTCTTTTGAATTAGTGTTTTAGGATTCTTAGGGTATCGTCCCAGCAATGGAATCACTGGGTCAAAGGGCAGTTCCATTTTTAATATTTTGAGGAAATTCCATACTGTTTTCTACAATGGTTGCACCAGTCTGCATTCCCACCAGTAATGAACTAGGGTTCCTTTTTTCCCACAACCTCACCAGCACTTATTGTTTGCTTTATTTATGATGGCCATTCTGACAGGTGTGAAGTGGTATCTCATTGTGGTTTTAATTTGCATTTCTCTGATGGCTAGTGATGCTGAGCATCCTTTCAGATGTCTCTGGTTCCTCTGTACGTCCTCCGTGGAGAAGTGTCTGTTCAGGTCCTTTGCCCATTTTTTTTTTCACCGCCGACAACCGATGTTGGCCACCCACCCTTCCCTGCACACCAGCCAGGCCCTCCTATTTTTTAATCGGATTGTTTGTCTTCCTGGAGTGGACTTGTGTGAGTTCTTTATATATTTTGGAGATCAAACCCTTGTCCAAGATATAATTGGAAAATGTTTTCCCATACAGTTGGTTCCCTTTTCATTTTGCTTATGTTTTCTTTAGCTGTGCAGAAGCTTTTTATTTTGATGAAGTCCCACTTGTTTATTCTTTCCTTTATGTCCCTTGTTGCTCTAGGGGACATACCAGTGAAAACACTGCTGCATGGAATATCCGAGATTCTAGGACTTTTATGGTATCGCGACTTATATTTAAATCTTTTATCCATCTTGAGTTTATTTTTGTGTATGGTGTAAGTTGGTGGTCATTTCATTTTTTGTATGTAGCTGTGCAGATTACCCAACACCATTTGTTGAAGAGGCTATTTTCACTCCATTTTATGCTTCTGCCAACTTTGTCCAATATTAATTGACTGTAGAGACTTGGGTTTATCTCTGGGCTCTCTGTTCTGTTCCATTGATCTATGTGTCTGTTCTTATGCCAGTACCAGACTGTTTTGATTATAGTGGCCCTGTAATATAATTTGATATCAGGTATTGTGATCCCTCCTACTTTGTTCTTCTCCCAAAATTGCTGTGGCTATGCAGGATCATTTATAGTTCCACATAAATTTTTGAAATGTTTTTTCTATCTCTGTAAAATATGTCACTGGTATTTTAATATAGATTGTGTTGAATCTATATATTGTTTTGGGTTGTATGGACATTTTGATGATGCTAATTCTTCCAATCCATGAACACAGTTCACCTTCCTTTTTTAAATTGCTCTAGTATTTTTTTCTGATTACAAACATAAGATCTGTGTCAGTTATAGAACATATAGAAAATACATGTTAAAATAAGAAACAACAATAACAGTCATTCTGCTTTCCACAAACCATGAATATTTGGTCTTATTTTAAAATATTTACATTTTACCCTGGCTGGCGTAGCTCAGTGGATTGAGCGTGGGCCTGTGAACCCAATGCTCACGGTTCGATTCCTGGTCAGGGACGAGCCTGGGTTGCAGGCCAGTTCCCAGCAGGGGACCCATGAGAGGCAACCATACATTGATATTTCTTTCTCTCTCTCTTTCCCTTCCCCTCTAAAGATAAATAAATGAAATTTTTAAAAAATTATTTTAAAAATATTTACATTTTAAAAATATACTTGAGATTATATATACAGAATTGTATCTTGGTGCTTTTCCACTTACCTCATAAGCATTTCTGTATAACACGAAAACCTTTTGTATACCTGCTTTATCCCACGTACACAGTGTACACAGTATGATTTACTTACACATCCCCATATATTTCAACACTGAGGTTGCTTTTATTTTCTGCCATTATAAAAACTGCTGTGATAAACATCTTTCTGCATAAATCTTTGTCCCGATTTCTAATTCTTTCCACAGCCAGATTCCTGGGAGAGAACTATATCAAGCAAGGGATGTGGACATTTTTAAAGCCTCTGATAAATTTTGGTAAACTGAAAAGCCCACCTTTCATGCAATGTAAACTTTTTAACAGTTACTTTAGATGAGAACAAGAGGAGTAGGATTTAGGGTTTGAAAAGAGAAAGGGGCCCAGCAGAGGAGGCTGGGAGCCCCTAGAGAAACAAACCCAGGAAGAGTGAGCTGTGATCTATGGCAGAAGGAGCCAGAGTCCATCTCAGTGAAGGCAGCGGGGACTGGTTTCATTCGGAAGCTGTGTTCCCAGCTGGGCTTCGCAGGTCAGACAAGATGGGGAGCAGGAGGAGGTGCAGGCCAGGCAAAGAGCCAGGTGACAAGGATTCTGGAGGCCTCTGCAGAGACGTGAAGTGTGAGAAGATGGGAGCCTTGGAGCAGCAGGGCAGCGTGCCTCCCACAGCACTGGGGGCTCCAGCACCTCTATTGTTACCTGCCTTTGTGTCTTGCTCAGCTGCCCTCCTGCCCAGAAATGCCCCCAATCCCAGATGACCTACTGATCCTTGGGGTCTCGGGGCAGGTGTCTTCTCCTCCAGGCAGTATTCCTAATCCATGCCTGGCCCACTACCACTTAGGTCAGGGGTCCAGAGCCTGGTCCAGGGAGGTGCTCAGTGAGCATCTCCAGAACCCTATTAGGAGGAACTGCCAAGCCTGAGAATTAACACTGCACTGTGCTCCTGACTGGGGGGGCAGGGGGCGGAGCCCACATTGCCAGGAGGAAAGGCAGAGACCAGAGGAATATAATACACGTCGTGTAAGCTGATTATACAGGAGACTCTAACTCCTTCTTTCTTAGATTCCTTCTCCAGTGCACAGTTCCCCAGAACTGCACAGCACGTCCCTAGAATGCCTATGAAACATACAGATTCCCAGGTACCATTCCCACTCAGGAGGTCTGTCTGGGGGATGGCCTGGGACTTAGTGTTTTCAACAAGCCTCACGGGTAAGTCTGCTGTGAGTGACCAGCTTTGGGGACCGCTGCATGAAACCTTTAGGGCCTGGTGGCATTTTTGAGTCCTTTTTGAAGTATGTTTCCCAATCTGTGTTCTGGGAAGCACTCGTTCTGAGAAGCACCGATACGCATTAGAAGAGTTCCATGGCTAAAACATGGCGATAAGACTTCCGCCAAGATGGAGGTATAGGTGGATGTGCCGTGCCTTCTCACACAACCAAGTTTAGGGACAACTAAATATTAGCACCAGAAAACACAACCAGAACACGGAAAATTGAACTTTTCGGAAGTCCGTTAACAACAAATTCTTCAGCCCGACCGGTAAGGGGCGAAACCGGCGGCTGGTGAGGGGTTGCACAGGAGGACTGGGTCGGACCCGGGCGCGGAATCCAGACGCTTGAATCCAGACGCACGGGTTCCAAACGCAGGATTGGACCTAGTGAGCGACCGAGCAACCCAGCGGGTGAGCGACTGCAGAGGAGACAGTGGGGAGGCGGTGCTGCGTGTTGACTGCGATTGCCTAATTGCGCGCCAGCGGACAGGCGAGGGAGTGGGCGGTTGGATCGGCCGCGGCATAGAGGGCGCCGCCATTTCCCCGCTCTGACCACGCCCCCACATACAGCGTCACAACCCAGCCACCTGGGAGTCCAAGGCTCTGCTTCTCACATTTAAAAGGCCAGAATAGACCAAAAATGTCGCAGGAAGACCTCAAAGCCCCAGAGATAAATCTAAGCGACGAAGAAATAGCAAAACTCTCAGACGCACAGTTTAAAACACTGGTCATCAGGATCCTCACAGATCTGGTTGATTATAGCCACAAATTAGAGAAACATATGAAGGCTAAACTAATGGAAATGAATGGAATTCCACAGGAAACCCATAGCGATGAAAAGGAAACTGGGACTCAAATCAATGGAGTGGACCAGAAGAAAGCAAATAATGGCCAAACAGAAAAGAGTCAAGGAGCAAGAATTCAAAGAAATGAGGAGTCTTAGGAACCTCCAGGACATCTTTAAACGCTCCAATATCCGAATTATAGGGGTACCAGAAGGGGGAAAGACACAGCCACCAGTGGAAAACTTATTTGAACAAATAATAAAAGAAAAATTCCCCAATCTGGCAAAGGAAATAGACTTCCAAGAAATCCAAGAAGCTCAGAGAGTACCAAAAAGTTGGACTCAAGAAGAAACACACCAAGGCACATCATAATTACATTAGCCAAAATTAAAATGAAGGAGAGAATCCTAGAAGCAGCAAGAGCTAAGGGGACAATCACCTACAAAGGAGTCCCCATCAGACTGTCAGCAGATTTCTCAAAAGAGACCTTACAGGCAAGAAGGGGCTGGAAAGAAATATTCCAAGTCATGAAATCTAAAGACCTACAACCAAGATTGCTCTATCCAGCAAAACTTTCATTTAGAATGGAAGGACAGATAAGGTGCTTCTCAGATAAGATCAAATTCAAGGAGTTCATCATCACCAAGCCCTTATTATATGAAATGTTAAAGGGACTTATCTAAGAAAAAGAAGTTAAAGAAACATGAACAGTGAAAGAACAACAAGCTCACAGTTATTAACAACTACACCTAAAACGAAAGCAAACTAAAAGGACAGCTAGATCAGGAGTGGAAACATAGAAATGAAGATCTCAAGGAGGGGTTAGCAACAGGGGGAGTGGGAGGAGGAGATGGGGGGAGAAGGTACAGAAAATAAGTAGCATAGACAGTAGATAGAAAATAGATGGGGGGGCAAGAATAGCATGGGAAATATAGAACCTAAAGGACTTGAGACACATGGACATAAACTAAAGGGGGGTAATGGTGGGGATGGGGGGGCAGGGTGGAGGGGAATGAAGGGGGGAATAGAACAACTGTAACAGCATAATCAATTAAAAAAAAAAAAGAAACAAGAAAAAAAAAACATGGCGATAATAGTTTCTATTTCCCTTCCCCGTAGAGCCACAACGCACATGAACATCACCGGGGTTCGGAAAAGTCCTGCAGTGAAGAAACCAGGTTAGGTTTGCTCAGCCATGACAATCCCGAACTCCTGTGATCTGGGAACAGTGTCTCGCCAACCAGCGTTGGGAGAGCCGCTGATGGGGCTGCTGGAGCTGCAGCCCAGCCCAGTGGGGCTGGTAATTAATTCCCTCGGGTTCCTGCCCTCCCATCATCTGGAGCTTCTGTCTGTTTGCGGGAGGGAGCCGTGCATTTGACCCCCTGGTACCACAGCTGCCACTGGAGAAAGATGCTACTTTGAAATGAGAGCTGACAAGGTTCCATCCCACTCTGGGAGCTGACAACAGGGTTACAAATTCAAAGAATAATCCAAATCAGCTAAAAAGGAATTTGTCTCCTGAGTAAATCACTGAGTTAGCACTGCTGTAAGTATTAGTTTCTCAGTTTAAGGCACATTTTGTACTCAAAAAGAAAAAAAAACACCATAAAGAAAAAGAACAAAAAACATGACAAAAAGGCTCAGTCTTTTTAAAAGCCCGGCATCACTCACCCATTTATCCCCGTGTCGCCCTGACTGTAATCCATGTCACAAGTGCAAGTCACAAGGGTAAGTAAACCTCTTTGGGGCGCAAAATCCCAAATAGCATAACGATTTACAAGGGGTAATGGCAGATTGTTCAATTTGACCTTTCAGCCTGGGAAGTGTCACCCCAACCAGGTGGGCCTCAAAATGCTGATCTATGCCCAGAGGGCTGTGACTCCCACCGGCTCTCCCTCCCACAGACAAGGGAGCCAGCACCCACCTGCAGGCGCCGGAGAGACAGCTTTGCCTTGGTCCGGCCCTTCCTCCGGGGGCAGAGATCTGAGCAGTTGGTGGTGATGATGCCTGTGTCGTAAAGACAGGGCTCAGCCTGTGTTTTATTTAGGTAGCACATTCCCCAAATACTTGCTGAGAGCCTACTATGTGCTGGGCCCCATGTCAGTTGCTAGATAGAAAGCCGATGTTGTGGGTCCTTCCAGAATGCCCTGTCCGAGAGAGTTCACTACCCTGTGAGCCCTGTGTGAGAGGGGAGAAATTAGCATAATTCTACTCTCTTCACATTTTCTTTCAATATCTCACTTTAAAAAAAAAAGAGTCGAGTAGGGATTAAGGACATGGGCTACTAGAATGAGAACTGAGTTCAAAATACAAAGTTTCATTTGTAAAGCCGGGACAGTAAGACTCACTTTTCAGACTTCTGTGGAGATAAACGAGCTACTACACAGTAGGCACTGGCCCACAGCAGGCTCCCGAAAGAGATGCTCGCTCTCATTGTAAGTTAGTATCGTAGAACTGGAGAGCATGATGGCTGAGTCTCTGTGTGCACAGCCCAGCATCTGCCCAAGGGGCAGTAATGGCAGCGCCTGCCTCCAATGGACAGTTATGAAGATTAAAGGAGAGGTACACGCAAAATGCACCAAACAGTGTGTGCACGGAGCAATCTTGTTACATGTTAGCATTTCGAATATGATTAGACTCACGCCAATTTGGCATGAGTGGCTCTTTTAGCACTCTGTCTTCTGTGAAGCAAGAGATCGCTGTGTCTGCTTCTTTTTTCTTAATCAAACACAGGTAATCACTGTGTCATATTGATTTGATGCTCCATCTTCTACCTACTGTGTTATGCATTAACTAAAGCTGTATCTGGGAGGGAGCAGTGCCTGGTGGTGAAAGCATGTGCTTTTGCAGCCAGAGAAGGTGGGTTCAAGTTTAGGTTCTCCTGCATGTGTGATCCTGCATGGGTCCAGAACACTCTCACTTACCTAGTCTCTTAATAATTTGTGAAAGTTAATGCTGGCCTCATCCTGAGTATCTCAAGATCATGAAGGAGGGAGTGCTCCACCCTGCCAAATACTGGGGAAAAGGCTCAGAGCTGATTATTACTGAGGGAAGGCTCAGTGTAAGGGTGAAGTTCTATGGTTAGACTGACTGGGCTGGAACTCTGGTTCCAGCTTGTAGCTGTGCAATCTTGGTGAGTTCCTCCTGCAACCTGTCTCCAGTGTCCTCATCTGTAGGGTGGGGGATGACAGTACTCACACAGAGAGCAGTTGTGAGGATTAACCAAAGAGCTTAACACTTGCTCACACACAGAAAATGCCCAATAAATGTTAGCTGTTACTATTAGTATTGCTGTCAGTCTATCTTGCCCACCAGATTGTGAGCAGGGAGCTCATTTAATTCATCCTTATAGTCTTAGTACCCAAGAACTGCTTACCTAGCATTGGATGAATTCAGGAATGATGGAAGGAGTAGATAAATAAACACATTTAATTCTGGTCCAAAGTCCTTCCTGATGATCGCAGAGACTCAGCTGAGTTTCCTTAAGGCCTAGCTGTGTTTCCATATTGTCGTTCTGCTTTGGTTTTGCTAAGGTTCCTCTCTGAGGTTTCGCTCCTGGGTTAGTGTGAAATCTAACCCAGGAGGGTTAGACTGATCCCTCCTGAAGGAGGCTGGAGTTTCACTTCTGTTTTCTGATTGTAGGAGTTTGAGTACGTTACTGACCCTTCCAGCTCCATTTCCTAATCTGCAAAATGGGGCTAAACCCACCTATTTCTCAGAGTTGCTGAGCTGGTTAGACATTATATGTCTATGTGAAAACACCTGGTACACATAGTAGGTGATCAATAAAAGTTGGTGATTATCATTTCGTCTTACTTACCTTGAAGTTCAAGTTAACCCTACTTCGAATAATTAGCTAGATCTCTGAACTCTGGGGTGCAAATGATTACTTTTCGTGCCGAATGCCTTTTCCTCATAGACCTCCACTCTACCTCCGTGGGAAGTGTTCATCCCTTCCTCTTGTTGCCTACCTGAGTGGTACCCTGGCGTGCCTGGCCCTGGGCCCGAGGACTGACCGTGGGTGACCCTGGCAACATGTTCTCTGTGTCCTGAGTAGCCCCGCTGGTCTCCAGGGACACCCGATCAAAGGGCTGCAGGGGCAGGAGCAGTCAGCCATGGGCTGTGCCCACCAGTCGGTCCCTGTGCTGAGCATGGCTCAACACGGCTTCAGAGCCCAATGGACTGGGGCTCCACCACTTGCTTATTTGTTGTGTGACTGTGACAACTTGGCTTCCCTAAACCTCAGTTTCTTCACCTGTAAAATGAGGACAACGTAAGATTGTGTCCACAAAGGGGCACATGAGAGGACGATGACAGCCCACAGTGGGGGTGTATGTGCAAGGCTCTCCCCCCACAACATGGGGAAAAGGAAATGAGTTATCAAATGCCCGAAAGGCATGACAGCTGGCCCGCATTTAAAAACTAGAGTAAAAATAAGCAACCTGATAAGGAGAAAAAGAATCCTCAATAAGCCCCACAGTGAGTTCACTTTTTAGTGATATTTGTCACGTTATGGCGATGGAAATTCACTGTTGACTCCAACAAGAAGGCACTAAGTTGAACAAAGGGTGGAGTGGATGTACCAAACTTCTAAAATCACCCAGCTTTGCAACTTTAACCAGATCTGCAATCTTAAAAAAAAAGTGCTTCTGGTAGTTTTAGAAAAACATTAATAATCAAATCCAATTTTCTGATGCACTTGGAGATGAAGCTCTCCAAATATTGAAAAAATATCTGACAGTCAGCTGTCTCATAAAATGGTGCTGACAATCTGTATCGGTGGGTTCTCGACCTTGGCTAAACAACATAAATCATTTTGGGACTTTAAAAAAATCGCCCATGCCTATACCCCAACCCAAGCATATCATAACCTTGAGGTGGGGTGCTGACCACTTTTTTAAAAAGCTTCCCAGGAAAACGATAATCTTGGGGTGGGGTGAACATTTCTTTTAAAAAGGCTTCCCAGGTGATTCCTGCAGCTGGAGTTCAGACCATCTCGGTACTAATGAAAACCCTGATTCACATACAAGTTGCCAAGGCAACTGAGGCTGTGGCCTCAGTTCTGGCCACACGTTAAAATCACCAGGGGGCTCTTAAAAATCTGATGCTCCACCCAGACCAATGCCATCCCAGCCTCTGGGGTAAGACTCAGAGGCTGACACTTTATTTATTTTTAGAGAGAGAGGGAGGGAGAAAGAGAGGGAGAGAAATATTGATGTTAAGGAGAAACATTGATTGGTTACTGGGGACCGAACCTGCAACCTAGGCATGTGCCCTGACCAGGAATTGAACTGGAGACCTTTCGTTTTGTGGGATGTCAACCAACCAATTGAGCCACACCAGTCAGGGCAGCACTGACACTTCTGGAAGCTCCCTAGGTGATTCAATGTGCAACCAGGGCTGAGAAGCACTGGACTAAAGGATATAGTAAAAAAACCACATGTTCAGTAGAATTTTAGCTCACACCTGCATTTTGCAACAGAAACTCTAGTAATATGATGTAGCACTGTGGTTAGTTCCTACTTATCCAAAAATGGCTTCTCTGCTTTGAGGATAAATTATAGGCCAGTGTTAGGAATGTAAAGAATGCAGCTCACATTTTTAAGCACCTACCAGAAACCAGACGTTTTCCCCTACACTATCTAATTCACACTGTACCCAGTGAAGTAGATGGTGTCATCCCTGTATTATGAGGTGAGGAATTGAGGCTCAGAGAGGCTAACTCACTTACATCCAGTCACTTAGCTAGTAAATTGGGCTCCAAAATCTGGGCTCTCGGCCACACTCCACAGGGCCGAGGACAGCATCTGTTTCTGCTTACATACTCAAACTAAATGATTTGTTAGGTTGTCTATTGTTTTGTTTCTGTTCCTCCGTTAGCCAGATAATGAGGGCTGACTATATGGCTTATTCTGGAAAAATGGTCTAGGTGTAAATTTATTCCTTCTGTTACAAAAAAAAAGAGCACATGTCCTAACAATTATTTCATATTTATTCTCCCTTTAACTTGGCAGTGGGTTCTGAAGTAGCGCTGTAACTGCTGCATGCTTTTAGCTGGCTCTTTCCCCGCTGAAAGGTAAATACTAAGAACCAGGGTAAGTAACTAAATATTTACCTATACTCAAAAGGTAAACATTTTTCTCCCAAGTGACTTTGAAGATAAGTAAAAAAATGAAAACCTAAACAGATTACAAACAGAGCTGCTAATTATTTGACCTTGTCCCTTGTGTTTCCTAATCTGACAAGGCTTATGCTTCCCAATAGGTAGACACAGCCCACAGTTTGCAGTGCCTTCCAGCAGAGCTGGCTGCCCCTAGGGCGGGGCAGGCCCACTCAGAGCCCCCTGTGGCAGCCCGGACAGGCAGGGCTTCCGCTTCTCTAGCCAACTCCCTTCCGTTCCCCAAACACTCGTCAGTGACCCATCACCCGAACACACAGGACTAGCCAGGGCTTTTAAACAGCAAATTACTTATGCCGAATACTAACAGCAATTCCAAGAGAAAAAATAAAGCACAATTATTTCTAGATTCACAGTTTTTCCCCACATATTTTAAAGTCTAGATTTGTAGAAGCCAGGTTTTGTATAATTAGAGATGGCCTGTTATGTATACACTGTTTTCAACCTACTCAAGGAAGACAATAATAAAAGGTCCCATTTACTGGATATTTTTTATGTGGTTCTGGGTCAGAAAAGTTATTCACATCTTTGAAATCTGAGTTTAGGAATTATTGTCCCCATTTTGCAAGTGGGAAATGTGTCTCAGAGAAGTTAGGTCAGATGTCTAAAGCCACACAGCTACTAAGCGGTGGCACTGGAGCCAGACGGTGCAGCCCGCTCAGACAAGACTGGGCGTTTCTAGAAGCCCACGCCAAAGGGCAGTGGTTTGTGATTTTTTTTTCATTCCAGACCTGAGGGCATGCGTCCGCTGGTCTCTGTTCCTCTAGGGTGAAGTGCTTCTTGGCTTTTGGCTCAAGGCCTAGCTGAAGCCCCACTCACCACGCCATTGCCACCTTCCACCCCGTGGGCCCTGGTCATCCCACGAATGCACGCCCACTGTTACCTCAGCACCTTCACCGTCTCCGTCCACTGCGCCTGCTCACTCTCCCAGGGGTCCACCCGAATCCAGTCCGACATCTGCAGGGCCAGCCGGACCATGGCCACTCGGTGGTGGGCAGCTGCAAGGTCTTTCTTCTTGTAGTTGTCGTTGACAGGAGAGATGATCCCCCCGATCACCTGGTACATTCCTAAGCGAAGGAGCACAGTGGTGTTGCACTTACAAACGCTCGCCACCTGGCAGCATGAATTCAGGCAGGCGCTAAAAACCCTTGCGTCTCATCCTGGCATTCTCTCCTGAGGGGCCAGCTCCCTTAGACGAGGGGGAAGGCCACCTCAGGGACCAGGCTCTTCTCCAGAGTCTTCTCCAACCAGAGTAACCCCTCCTGAGAGGAAGGTTGTGAGGGTGGAGCCAGACGAGGCTCCCAGACAGCCATGTGGACAGTTCGGGTCAGAGTATGTAGCAGGAACACCATGACTTCCCCTGTCTGGGATTTAACAAAGGCACCATCACTCTCTAATCAAGAATGGGATGATAGTTACATATAGCTTCTCAGCCCAAACAGGAAACTTTGTGGATCAGAGATGATGGGTGGGCACTTCACTGAACCCAGGCAGGTAGGAGATGGGAGGTAGGCTGAATGCGCAGGCCCCACACTGGCTTTGGGGGAATGTGCTGTAAGGGAATGGGAAGGCCTAGTGTGGAAAAGATGGGGGCTGGGCTGATTAGTGAGGCTCTATGGCTCAGGGTCTGGAGAACGGGGAGTTTTAAGTTTAGAGCTACAGCGACACCGTAGGAGCCACTGAGAACCCCCACGGAACAGCTATGAATGGGCTCTAAGCCCTTGGGTAGGAGTTCACAGGACACCTTAGGCAAATTATCAAATTTTTGGGAAAAATGAAATAGCCATTTGAACTTCAGTTTTCTTATCTGTAAAATGCATTAAGACCTGCTTGGCAGGACCTTGTGGTAAGGATGAAATTAGATAAGGTTTATGTAGTGGGAAAATATTTTGATTTAGTAAATGTGTATATATTTAAAAAACTGTATTAGAAAATACAACATGCAAACAAAGGAGCGTAAGACACCCACGATTCGGCACAGAGGTATAAGGTACGCCCTGCTCTAACCACCACGTGGGTTAAGACATGGAACACTGCGGGTGCACCGAAGTCCCCATCACAGCCCCACTCCAATGGAAGTTCATCACCGTTCTTTCATAAATTAATTCTCTTGTTTTCCTTTACAGTGTTACCTTTATTACTAATGCAATATAATAAGTAAACTTCATGTACTGATGCAGCCTTAAAAAACAGATTCATGTTGCCTTCTTCTGAAAGTTTCATAAATGGAACCATACTGAATGTATTTTTCTGCTATGCCTTTTTCACTTTATATGAGTAAAATTCACGCAGTACAACCAGTTTTATTGCTGCATAACATTCCACTGCCTGATCATATGACCAGATAACGGATACATTTTACTGTTGATGGACTCAACTGGATTCTGACTTCAGACAAACACAAACAAGGCTGTTATAAAATTCTTGCACGAGTCCCCCTGTGCACACAGGCTCGCGTTGCTTAGGATACGTACAGAGGAATGGAACTGCCAAGTCAGAGGGGAGGTGTGTTTGCAGCTCTACTAGCGGATGCTGAGCAGCTCTCTAATGTGGCTGTCGCCGCTCATCCTCCAACCAGCGGTGTACGAGAGCTTCATTTGCCCCACACCATGTCATGTGGGGTTATTGTCGGGATTTTCCCAGTTTGCAGATGTGCAGTTATTGTTCACTGTGATGTCAATGTTCATTTTCCTGCTTCCAAGCGAGACTGAGCCTTTGATCATATATGTTATTAAGCATGCAAGCTTAGTTATTTTGTGAAGTGCCTGTTCCAATCTTTTGCCCCTATTTTGGGTTGTCTGCCTTTCAATTATTTATTTGTAGAGTTCTTAATATATTTCAAATACTAGCCTTTTGTTGGCTGGTTATATGTCATAAATATCCTTTTATTTCATGACTCATCTTATTTTTCTTCTTACAGAATCTTTTCAAAAACTAAAGGTCTTAATGTTAATGTAGTTGTAGTGTTCGTTTTTTTCCTTTACAATGAGTACATTTTGTACAAAGGCATTTTCCTATGTTATCTCATAAAAGGTTTATAGTTTTGTTTTTCACATTTGGAACTTTGTGCATGACACTATTACGTTACGTGAACACTATTACGTTACTTTCCATTTGTACAGTCGATTATTCCAGCAGCATCTACAAAACAGACCTCACCGCCCCACTGTGCATTGCCACGGGGGATGCCACCGAGTGTCCGTCTGTGCACAGGCCTGTCCCCCTGCTCTCTGTTCCCATCTGTGGCTCTGAGTACCATCCTCAGGCCATGAAACACTGTTTCCCTTAATGCAGCTTTACTGTGTGTACATCCCGGTGCCTGACAAATTCTCCTACCTTGTTCTTCGAGAGTGTCTGGGCAATTTTTGACTTTCTCTGTTTTCCATATAAATTTTAGAAAGAGCTGGTCAAGTTCCAGAAAGTTAAAGCCCCCACCCCAACCCAAAAACCTGCTGAAATACTGATAAGAATCGAATTGAATTCATAATTCAGTTTAGGGAGAACTGACATGTTTACACTATGGAGTCTCCCAATCCATGAGCATGGTACATCTTCCCATTTCTTTAGGTCTTAAATGTCTCTAAAGGTTTACAATTTTTCATGTAGAGCACTTGCACATCTTTGTAAGATGTATTTGTGGGTACTTAATTTTTTTGATGCCACCATAAATGTCATTTTTTAAAAATACATTTTTTCTTTGTTGCTGATATGTAGAATTATTCTTGGACTTACTATATTGTATCCAGTAACCTTGCTAAACTCTTACAGATTCTAATCATTTATCTGCAGTCTTTTGGATCCTCTATGTCCAAATACTACCATCTGAAAATACAGAGCATTTTGCTGATTCACTTCCAATCTGTACACCTTTTACTTATTTTTCTTGTTATATCAGAGTATCATTTTGAACAAAGATGGTGTTAGCAGGTATCCTTGTATTACTATCCCTATATTCTTTCTTTTAAAAAAATTTTATCAAATTTATTGGGGTGGCATTGGTTAATAAAATTACACAGGTCTCAAGTGTACAATTCTATAACACATCATCTGTACACTGTATTGTGCTGGCCACCAAAGTCAAGTCTCCCTTCATCACCATTTATCACCCCTTTACCCTCTCTGCCTCCCCACACCCTCGTTTCCCTCTGGTGATCACCATACTATTGTCTGTGTCTATGATGGTTTTTGTTTTCGCTTAATCCCTTTAACTTTTACACCGAGCCCCCCACCCCACCCTCCTCTCTGACAGCTGTCAGTCTGTTCTCTGTGTCTATATGTCTGTGTCTATTTTGTTAATTTTGTTCATTGGACTCCACATGTAAGTGAAATCATGTGATATTTGTCTTTCTCTGACTGGCTTATTTCACTTAGCACAATACTCTCCAGGTCCATCCATTCCGTCACAAAAGGTTAGATTGCCTTCTTTCTTACAGCCAAGTAGTATTCCATTGTATAAATGTACCACCGCTTTTTTATCCATTCATTTACTGATGGGCACTTGGGCGGCTTCCAAATCTTGGTATAAATAATGCTGAGAAGGACATAGGGGGGCAGCATATATTCTTTCAAATTAGTGTTTCAGGTTATTTTGGATATATTTCTTGCTCAATCTTAGAGAGGTTTGTATTTTATTAGCCTTTTCAAAGAACCGACTTTATTGATCTCTACTGACTATTTGTTTTCCATTTCCTCTATTTCTGCTTATTTTTTATTGTATCTTCTCACTCTCTTGCTGTTAATTTGCTATTCTTTTCCTAACTTCTTGTGATGGATGATCAGCTAACTAATCTGTGGTTTTTCTTATTTTGTAATATACACAGTTCAGGCTATAAAGTTTCTCTGTAAGCATGTCTTTACTTGCATCCCACACATTTTGATATGTAGTGTTTTTGTAATCATTATGTTCAAAATATTTTCTAATTTCCATTACTATGTCCTTTGATCCATGAGTTATTGAGAAGTATTTTTAAGTTATCAAGCACAATGAGGTTTTTGGTTATCTTTTTGTTATTGATTTCTAGCTTGGCTGCACTGTACTCGGAGAACATACTCTATATTGATTTTAATTACTTTGAATGTGTTGCGTGCTTCGTGTTCCAGAATGTGGCAAGCCGGATCTGGTAAACGATCCATGTTTGCTGAAAAAGAATGTGTACTCTAATTTTCGGGTACAATGTCCATTCAGTCAAGATGGCTGATTGTTTTGTTTAAATCTATATTTTTACTGATTTTGGGGGGGGTCTGCTTGTTGTATTAGTTACTGACAGAGGCAAGTTAAAATCTCCCACCATGATTATGGAGCTGGCCACCAAAGTCAAGTCTCCCTTCATCACCATTTATCATCCCTTTACCCTCTCTGCCTCCCCACACCCTCGTTTTTCCTGTTAAAACGTTCTTTCAACTTTTGTTTCATGTATTTTAAGGGTATATTATTGCCTATATATTTATTATTCTTACCTATCTTTCTGTGAATCAAGCATCTTTAATGCTAATAATGTTTCTGGACTTAAAGTCTGTATGTCTGATATTAATGTGGCCTCAACAGCTTTATTTTGACTGGCAGATGTGTGGCATATTTTACTAACCTTTCTCTTCGAACCTCTCTATACTTCTGCTTAAGATACAACTTTTGTAAATGGCTGAATGAAATTCTGGGCGGGGCAAGTTTGATAATTACTGACTTCTAACAGGGACATTATGTTTACTTACGTTTAACGTGAATGTTGACGTACTTAAGGTTCAAGCTACCATCTTATTCTGCGCTTCCTTTTTGTCACAAGTTTCAGAATTTTTTTTTCTCTTTTTCTGCCTATCTTTGGACTTTATTTCACTTTCTCTCTCACACTGAAACTCACATATGCATTCTTTTTTTTTTAAGATTTTATTTATCTTTAGAGGGGAAGGGTAGAGGGAGAGAAATATCAATGTATGGTTGCTTCTCATGCGTCCTCTGCTAGGAACTGGCCTGCAACCCAGTCATGTGCCCTGACTGGGAATCAAACTGCGATTCTTTGGTTCGCAGGCCTGTGCTCAATCCACTGAGCTACACCAGCCAGGGCGTACCTAT